TTTTCTTTTTTTGTGCCTGAAACTTTTCAGGGGAACTCTGGTGGCATAGTGCCTAAGGCATTTGACTGCTAACTAGAAGGTTGGTGGTTTAAACCCACCAGCCACCCCTCAGAAGGAAGACTGGGCGATCTGCTTCCATAGAGATACCGCCTCGGAAACCCAAGGAGGGCTCACTGTGAGTCAGAATGGACTTGATGGCAGTGAGTTTAGTTTTGGTTTTTCACACCTTTCGTATTGTTAATTATATGTGTGTGCAACTTACTGGACTGTTACATATCTCTTAACTCCTTGCTGAGATCAGCAGCCACACTGATGGAATGACAGGATTTGGGTTTGTTTTAGTTTTGATTGTGGTTTTTATGGGGAAATGGGAAAAGCTCATGTGGAGAACACTTCAGTGGGTTACTAAGGTATAAAGGAGCTCTGGTGACGCACTGGTTAAAGCACAGTGGTTAAAGTGGTAGAAGTGGTACAGTGGAAGCCCTATGGAGCAGGTCTACTTTGTCCTGCAGGGTCTCTATGAGTTGGAATTGACTCAAAGGCAGTGGATACTATTAGGTCCTAGTGGTTCCCTCTCATAGTTCTTCCCTTTGTGGTTATTCTTTTTTGCTTATTTTTCCATATCTACTTTTGAATAAAGTTATGTGCTTTCCCCCTAAAATGCCTGATGTTATTTTTTATGGAGTTCCATTAAATTTGTGAGGAACTTAATGAGAATTGTTATCTCTATGTTGCAGAATCTTTCTATCCAAGAACATGGTTTGCTGTTCTAATTTCTCAGTCTTATTTATGTCTTTTGGTGGTGGTTTACAGATTTTATTTTCCACACAGATTTTGCACATTTGTCATTAAGCTTATTTCTACACATTTTACCTTATGTATTACTATTATAATGGGATCTTTTCTTCCATTATATCTTCTAACTTGTTGTTATGTCTATGTATGAGATTTATAAATTATTGTATATTCATTTATTTTTACTTGGCTAATTTATTGAATTCTCTGTTTATAAAAGTATTACAATTTTTAGATTTATTTATTAAATATATTTAACTTTTATATTTATTAACTTTCTAATTTCTTTTTGTTTATTTTGTTTTTATCTAACTTTTAAATTTTTTTTAAAAATTTTTTTTTTTTAAAAACCTAACTTTTAAATTTTTTTTAAAAATTTTTTTTTTTTAAAAACCTAACTTTTAAATTTTTTTTAAGTTGAATAATTTTTCAGTTAATTAGTTTATTTTCTTATTCCCATTTTATTGATATAATAATTTTAGTGTATGAATTTTTCTGTAAGCATTGTTTTGTCTTTATTTTATAGAATGCAATATGTTGTGTTTCTATCATCAATGTTTCTAGAAATTCTGCAATATTTTCTTTTTGATTCAAGGATTGTTAAAATAGGGTTTTTGTTTTTTGTTTTGTTTTGTTTTTGTTTTTTAGTTTTCAAGCGTAATGACCTTTTACTTTTTAATTTTGTAATTGGTATAAATTACTATAGGAGCCCTGATAGCATAGTGCTTAAGGCACTTGACTGCTAACCAGAAGGTTGGCAGTTCGAACCCACCAGCCACTCCTCGGAAGGAAGGTTGGGCAATCTACTGCCGTAGTGATACCCCCTCGGAAACCCAAGGACGGGTCACTATGAGTCGGGTCCAACTTGATGGCACATAACAACAACAACATAAATTTATTGAGTTTTGGTAAAAAAAAATATTATCTATACTATTTTTAAGTTTTGATATTAATTAAAAAGTTTTCTTTGTAGCCAAAACCATAACTATTTGAAAAGAAAATATGTTATCAATTTTCAGTTTGATGTGTTGACTGTGTGTCAAATTCTTTTCTATTACTTATCATTGCATGAGTTGGATTTTTCTTAGACCTGCTGGTTACAAGCTACTTCTGTTGGGATTCAGGAGGAGACGTTGAGCAGCTTTTTGACTCCTTGTTCACTACTTTCACCAAATGCTTCATGTAGAAATGGCTCTTCTATATGAGTCTGTGTTACTACCAACTCTACTGGGTCCAAGAGGGCTTCTTCTGACCTTTATTCCTATTTTCTCTGCTACAAATAAGAGACATATATTTGCATTTTGAGGTTGAACCCTTCACCTTAGGAAGATATTTTTTCAGACACTTATGGAGATCTGCCACTGCTGGCAGTCTCATTATTACTCTCTAGGCTTCTTTGCTGTCTTCCCTGTGTGGAATCTACTAAGTGCTGCTTTGTTAGTGCTTTTATTTTGGGAATCTGTGGGATATATGTCTTCTGGTTTTGGTAAAACTTAAGGTTATGTAGTTTTGTTGTTCTTGTGAGCTGTGTAGCATATGCATGCTAATCAGGAGGAGAGGAGGGAAGATTCTATCTCGTGCAACCATGTTCTTACCAAAGTCCTCCTTGCCTTGACAGCTAGCTCATCATAGCCTTTCACTCTTCTTTGGCTCATGCTTTAAAAGTTGTAATTCCTCAGGCTAATTACCTCTGTTTTTCCTTCATTACATCATTAAAGCATGTGTTTTGTAAGTTGCCTTTATGTCCTAGGCTTCTTCACCTTTTCCAACACATAATTTGAAAATTAGTTCTTTTTTTTGTTTGTTTGTTTAGTTTGGAATACCCTTTTCTAGAACTTTAAAAAAAAAAAATTGCCCCCTTTAGGAAACCTTCTTTGACACCTCCTCCAGGCAGAATTAATCTTTAATCTTTCACCTGTGTTCATATAATACTTTGTTCCATTGTTAGTGCATTTACCTTGTTTTCAGTATTTGTGCATCTATGTTATTATCAAACCACTGAGTTCCTCAGGAATGTTGTTGTTGTTGTTATATGCCATTGAGTCAGACCTGACTCATAGGGACCCCTCCTTGGGTTTCCAAGGCAGTATCACTATGGAAGTAGATTGCCCCATCTTCCTTCCGAGGAGTGTCGGGTGGGTTTGAACCACTAGCCTTCTGGTTAGCAGTCAAGTGCCTTAGACACTACACTAACAGAGTATAGAGGAATAGAGACCTCATATTTATATCCTCTCTACCTATATCCTATGGAGCTCTGGTGCCATAATGGATAATACATTTGGCTGCTAACCAAAAGGTCGGCAATTCAAACCCACTAGCTGCTCCATGGAAGGAAGATGGGGTGATTTACTTCCATAAACATTTACAGCATCAGAAACCCGATGGGAGTTGCTATGAGTCGTAATTGACTCAGTGGCAGTGAGTTTGTTTTGGGTTTGCTGGGAGCTCTGGTAGTGTAGTGCCTAAGGCACTTGACTGCTAACTGGAAGTGTGGTGGTTCAAACCCACCAACCACTCCTTGGTAGGAAGGTTGGGCAATCTACTTCCATAGTGATACTGCCTCTGAAACCCAAGGAGGGGTTGCTATGAGTCGGTTCCGACTCGACGGCACATAACGACAACAACAACCTATATACAAACCAGTCATAATTCCGACTCGACGGCACATAACGACAACAACAACCTATATACAAACCAGTCAATAAATAATTTTCAAGTTTCGAATTTCTGGGTCCCTCCATTTGGCTTTCCTATGATGGTCACCACTTACCTTCAATTCTCTTTATTTGATTTTTCCACTATTTCAAATGAAGAATTGAGTAATCTAGATTTTCTTATTTAGCTTTTACTCTCAAAGTAAATTTAATCATTTCAAAGCAAGTTTCCTACTCTTAGGAAGTAACTAAAACTACTATAGAATTGGATAGCTCACACAGTTTGAAAAAGCTCAACAATCATTAATGGAAATTCTTCTACCTTTCCAGGTGATGCAACTGTGACAATAGCTCACAGATACACCCCCAGAGAACAACTGAAGATCCATACTCAGCTGGCAGATATTATCATAGTAGCTGCAGGTAAGTCCTTAGTGCATGGTGCTTTTAGAATATTATTAGTAATTTCTGCCCTAATTGCTGAAATATTTGAAAGAACCTCTTCTTGGGAGGGTTAGAAATATGTTACTAACTTGCATTGACTGCATTATATCTCTTGGCAATCATCCTGTTGGCCCATTTTGCCTGTGTTAGCATTTGTCAGTTCATTTTGGAGCCCCAAACGCCAAACAGCCTTTAGAGTGATAGATCAAGCACAAGAACAAACATCATCCATTTTGTCAATTACTGTGACAAACATGATTTAGCAGCATTTATGGAAAATGTCAATGTGGGTCAAAACTGTATTGTGGCATCAATTGATGCAGAAAAGGCATTTGATAAAATCCAACACCCATTTCTGATCAAAACTCTCAGCAAAATAGGA